TATATATATATATATATATAATTTACCTTTTTAAGAACCCAGAAAATATTAGGAAGCAAAGAAGGAAGAAGAGAAGGATATTTGATGGCAGCGAGGAGGGGCTCGAGTATATGAACGCGAAGCACTTGCTGCTGCTGCAGCTGCTGCTGCTGCTGCAGCAGCGGCAGCAAACCAATGAGAAATTGCTGCTGCTGCTGCTGCTCCTTCTCCTGTAAACAACCCAAAAACTTCAACGCTCTTGTCTCCAAAGACAACAAAAATTTATGAGCAGCAAAAGCCTCAATGGGGGGCCGCTGCGATGCATGCGGGCTCAGGCCCCTAGACAACAAATCTAAGAAATCTCTTGCTGCTGCTGCTTCTGCTGCTGCTGCTGCTGCTCCTCCTGCTGCTGCTGATGCTCCTGCTGCTGCTTCTTGAAAAAGAGAACCCGGAGGAAACATAGACGGACGCAGAGGGGACAGCATAGAACACTGCAGCAGAAACAGCAGCAGCAGCAGCAGCAGCAGGAATTGCAGCAGCAGCAGCAACAGCAGCAGCAGGAATTGAAGCAGCAGCAGCAACAGCAGAAGCAGCAGGGGGAGTTTACATAAGAATGTATGGATGAGGGTTTAGGGTTTAGGGTTTAGGGTTTACCTGTTGACGGTGTGTTTCTGTGTCTCCATCTCTGCATGAGGGTAGATTGGTTGCCCCCAAACACTCACAAACAAGAAGACAAAAAGAAAATACATCTGCTGCTGTGCATACAGCAGCTGGACATACACCCGAAACCTCCGGCGCGGTGTAACGCAGCGGCGGGCACAGCGCCACGCCTCCGCCCCCAGATCTGCGGTGTACGTACACCCCAACACGACAGCGAACAATAAAAAATAAATAAATAAATAAATAAATAAATACATAAATAAATAAATAAAAAAATAAATAAATAAATAAATAAATAAAAGAACAGGTGTGCATCAAACAAAGAAACGCCGAAAAGAAGGAGAAAAAAACACGCCAAGAAACGGAAAAAAGCAAGAGAAGCAACCCCAAACCCTAAACCCTAAACCCTAAACCCTAGACCCTAGAGCCTGTATCTGACCCGCAGGTGAATTTACAGATGGGTTTGTTTCCGTCTTTTTGTGTTTTTTCTTGAGCAAAGAAAAGCCCCCCCAGCTGCCACCGCCCCCGTGCATCGACGAATACACTCTCCGGGTGTATGTTCAGGTGCAGCAGCTGCGCGCTGCTGTGAAGAAAGGAGATAGCTTCAGCTATATCTAATAAACCACATTTCACCTCTAAAAGAGATAAACCCTCATATCTTCTATATAACCTGCTGCTGCTGCTGCTGCTGCTGCTGCTGCCGCTGCTGCTCATGCTGCTGCTGCTGCTAGGAGGGTTGCTGCTGCTGCTCAGGCTCGTGATCGCGCTGCTGCGAGGGCTGGGGCCCCTCGCTGAATCGGGGGGGGAGTACCCTGAGGGGCCCCCCCCTGATGCTTGGGGGCCCCCTCTTGCTGTGGGGGCCCCCAGAAGAGATTTAAGAGAAGTAGAGACAGGCTTCGTGCAGAATACCCATGAGTCCTTGCCCTGCTGCAGCGGCTCTACCACCTGCAGCAGCCGTGGATGCCGCAGCCGCTGCAGCAGCTGGGCGTCCTGCTGCAGCAGCTCGCGCAGCTGCTGCAGCACAGAGCCATCGGGGGGAAGAGCAGCAAACTCAGGGGCCTTCAAATTGCATGCAAAGAGAGAGACAGGAACATTCGGCCTGTCGAGGTGGTACCCGCTGTGAACCTGAGACA